TCAAGACATGCAAAGAGGATATACTAGGCCTAGACATAGGCGCCGGCACTGGACTCTTATCCCTCATGAGTGTCAAAAGCGGTGTCCATCGAGTTGTCGGTACTTATAGTTAATTGTCATTAAAATAGTTGTTATAATAATATATTTGTAATTATATGTGGTATAAAGCGTGCGATTGTTTTGAACCGATTGCCAGATGTGCTCAAAATATAGTCAATATTAACGGCTTTTCGGATGTCATTAAAGTTGTGAACAAGAGATCAGACAAATTGACGGTCGGATCAGTTGGTTGTGATTTAGAGAGAAAAGCGGATCTATTAGTGGCCGAACTCTTTGACACGGAATTGATAGGCGAGGGAGCGATCGGTTGTTATCGACACGCGGCTCAACATCTGTTGACTTCGGACGCATTACTGGTGCCGTCGAGGGCTAAGATCTACTGCCAATTGGTTGAATCGGATTCACTCTTTTCATACCATCAGTTCACAGATAATATCGAAATCAACGAACATTTCATAATTAAATGTCCACAAAATGTGAAGAGTTGTGACGGATCTAATGTCTTGCATGACATTCAAATGAATCAATTAAAACCAAATGAAGACTTTATTGTAGTTTCAGAGCCAGAAGTTGTCTTTGAGTTTGAATTCAACAATATATCGACTCTCGGATCAAAAGATCGCAAAACAATTGAATTCAAAACAATACGCGAAGTGAAGGGTCCACTCGTACTGTTCATGTGGTGGACAACAGATATGGACTTTGAAGGAGAAATAGTGTTGAGTTGCGCCCCGTTTTGGACATATAATGATAGCGCTATCACTTCAAAGACTATTCCGTGGAGAGACCACTGGATTCAAGCCATTTATTATTTGTCGGCAAATAATAAACGCTTTGAATTAAAAGCCAATCAGACATTCAAAGTGGAGGCAAATCGAGACGAATATAGTCTTTGGTTTAACGAATCAAATGATGACAAGTGTTGCTCCGATTCGTTAGGGTTTCAATGCAAATGTGGTCTCCATTTATTTCTTAGCCGAACGCGTA